TGCCTTCTCCTCCTGCTTCCTCTCTTCCTGCTCTTGCCGACCTGGAGTCGGACTCTCTTCGTGCTGCCAGTCCTACTGTCACGCGTCTCCTTGCTACTGCCGTCACTGACCCTTCTTTCGAGTCTTCTGCTGCGTCCACCCTTGTTACTGAGCTCGTCGACTTTGCTGCTCGTTGTTGCCTAGACTACGCTGCTTGTCTTGTCGCTGAGTCTGCGTTTGCCTGTCCTCCGTCCGTCGGGGGTGAGTGTGCCCTTGGCACGGACGTCCTAGAGGACAGGCAGGAGGAGTTCCAGTGTTTGGCCGCCGCTTCACCTCATCTCGCGTCTGTACTGCTCACCCCTGAGGGAGACCCGGATGCACTAGACATCCCGACTCCGCGCTCTTACGCGGAGGCGATAGAGGGTCCCTACTCCTCTTAGTGGCAGGCAGCTATGGATGCAGAGATGGCTTCCTGGAAGTCCACAGGCACCTACGTTGACGCTGTCCCCCCTCGTGGGGCGAACATCGTCAGTGGCATGTGGATTTTCAGGGTGAAGCGGCCGCCGGGTTCTCCGCCTGTCTTCAAGGCGCGTTACGTGGCTCGTGGCTTCAGTCAGCGGCAGGGAGTTGACTACTTTCAGACCTTCTCCCCAACCCCGAAGATGACCACTCTTCGGGTACTGCTACAGGTTGCTGCTCACTGTGACTACGAGCTGCACTCTCTCGACTTCAGCACTGCTTTCTTGCAGGGCAGCCTGCACGAGGAGATCTGGCTGCGTCGCCCACCTGGCTTCACTGGGTCTTTCCCTCCTGGTACCCAGTGGAGTCTCCGGCGTCTAGTCTACGGTCTCCGCCAGGCGCCGCGTGAGTGGCACGACACACTGAGGACTACACTGGCGGCACTTGGGTTTGCTCCCTCCACTGCAGACCCGTCGCTGTTTCTGCGCACCGACACCTCTCTGCCGCCGTTCTACATCCTCGTGTACGTCGACGACTTGGTCTTTGCCACAGCTGACACTGCTGGACTCGCCTACGTGAAGTCCGAGCTGCAGAAGAGACACACGTGCACTGACCTGGGTGAACTGCGCAGCTACCTTGGCTTGCAGATCACCCGGGACAGAGCACGCCGCACCATTACCCTGACTCAGTCACACATGGTGCAGCAGGTCCTTCCGCGCTTCGGCTTCACGTACTCCTCGCCTCAGGCCACTCCTCTGCCTACTCGCCACTCGCTCTCAGCTCTGCCTTCGGATGAGTCCGTAGAGTCGAGTGGCCCGTATGCAGAGCTTGTTGGCTGCCTCATGTACCTGATGACCTGCACACGACCTGACCTTGCATTCCCTCTGAGCATTCTTGCACGCTATGTTGCTCCTGGGAGAAACCGACCAGAGCACATGGCTGCAGCGAAGAGGGTGTTGCACTACTTGTGCAGTACGTCCGGCATGGGGCTAGTGCTTGGAGGGCGCAGTCCAGTGGTCCTCACCGTGCACGCAGACGCTTCTTGGGCTGACGACCAGGCTACGCAGCGGTCGTCACAGGGTTACACCTTCAGTCTTGGTTCCGGCTCTGTTTCGTGGCGGGCTACCCGCTCGTCTTCTGTTCTCGGCTCCAGTTGTGAGGCTGAGATCTACGCCGGGGCCATGGCTGCACAGGAGTTACGCTGGCTCACCTACCTGCTGACTGACCTTGGAGAGCCGCCTCGTTCTCCTCCAGTCCTGTACGTAGACAACAAGGCCATGCTGGCTTTGTGTCGAGAACAGCGACTGGAGCACAGGACAAAGCACATTGCTCTCCGCTACTTTCTTGCTCGTGAGCTACAGCAGCGTGGACAGTTGCGACTTGCGTACGTAGCCTCTGAGGCCAACACTGCTGATGTCTTCACCAAGGCACTTGCGCCTTGTGATCATCAGCGCTGCTGCACGCAGCTGGGCCTTGTGTGTGTCTTGCCTCACTTACTCACTTCTTGACCTTGCTTGTACTTTTACCTATATATACTCTTGCGCTTGCTTGCTTGCCTCTTGTATATCTCTATATGTGATCTTGCATGTGAACTGGTCTTTTGGCCTTTGAACTTGTGCTCGGAATGTGTGGTGACTTTGTGATCCACCCTGAGCTTTGCTTTGCTTTGCTTGACTGGTCTTGTGACCCCTTGTTCTCCCCCACTTTGCCTATGGGGGTGTGTCAGAACATTATAGCTTATATATATTTGTGTAGGCTATAGTGGGGTATCCCATAGGGGGTACAACACAATCAGGGTTTCCTATATGTACTGACTTCATTCATAGTTGATTCATTCTCGTTCTCTTCTTCTCAGTAGTTCACCTATGGCAGTGATTGGTTTTCAAACTCTCTTCGACAACACTTCGTTTTATGTCGACGACGGGATGGTCGACGACAAAAATGCTGTCGCAGGCTCTGCTCGACGGGATCCAGTCGACGACGCCGACGTGCATTGCTAATGCACATTAGTGGTCGACGAAACCAGTAACGCCTGACCCCTCGTCTTTGTAGTCGGTTGAGTCGGTCCCTGCAGCGTGCTAGAAAGGCTGGCCCCGGTGGTACAAGAATGCATTCTCATTAAGTTCCTATTCACTTGCTCTACGGTACACGGGTAGCGAGCGAAACCGTCGACAGGTGTTCTACCTGGCACCTGCGCATGAATAAGATTAAAATTGATGATTAATTATTAATGAGAATTGTAGGGAATGCCCCCTTTTTTGTGCCTCCTATTCCTTATCAAGTTTGCCCATGGCAGTTTGTGTATTTATTTGTTTAGGTATACGCTTTTATTTCAGTGTCAGCTGTGTTTTGTATCGAACTGGTCTGTGGCGCGTTTTGCCGCGCTTTTCTCTGCACCACTTCCCGTCGGATCGAGACAGAATCCGTCGACGGAGGCGGGTTTACTCGACGGACAGGGGGTTTGTTGCAGGCGGGGTTGGTGCAGACCGGGGGGAGCACGTGGGGTCAACGCCAGCTCGAGTGAGGAGGACCACCTCGCGTCACTCCGAGCTGGCGTGGCTCGTTTCGGGCGGGCGTGTGGGCTGGCTCCCGCCCCTCGCGTGCCCCGCCACGCGACAGAGGGAAAACGAAAATCCCTCCGAGGAAAACCCGCAGGGGCGAAAGGGGGTCCTCGGAGGGATTCGGGCGAGGTCTTCCCCTCGGTTGATGGAGACCAGACCTTGGGAACATCACGCAAATGGCAGCAGCTTATAGCTCGATCTGGTCTCCCTCATCGATTCTTGTTCACACTGTCAGCTTGTCGTGCCAGTTGCAGAAGGTGACAAGGCAATCTTGCCCTTGTGTCGCGTCAGCACTACAGTGCACGCTGTTGTCTTGCAGCAAGGTTTACTCACAGATACTGTAGCTCGCTCTTCAATCCGAGCCGAGATTCCGAGCCAAGCTCCCCTTGACTCCCTCCCGCCAATCTCCCCATTTCCCCGCATCCCGCCGAGCCAGTTCTGTTCTGTTCCGTGACTGTCCTCCGGCTGTCTCTTCGACGGGTCTTCCCGATTTCTGAAGAGCTAGCATGCACCTGACCAGACAGGCTGGTCCCTTTCATGCGCGTTCCGTTCCGCGAAACCGCTTGGTTCTCCCTCAGTTCGTCCTTTGAAGTTTGAACTCCCAGCCAGTTCCCCCTCGAGATTGCGCGGCTCTATACAGTGTACAGATTTTTGTGTCTCGAATGCCCTGACCCGTTCCACCTCCGTTTGAAACGCATCCCTTCCATTTGAATCAGGTTCTCTGACTTTGTTAGAAGGTTATGGTAGTTTCAACTCAGCAGCAAGAAATGCTTAAACGTTCAACTATAACTAAACTCTTGTACTGTAATTGCAGCTTGAACCAAATATCGAGGGGCACAATCCACTCCGCTCAACCGAGCTTCCCCCTTAACCTAACCCCCGCGTTTTTCCGCCTTCTCTGTAACCCTTGCGCTTATCCCCTCCTATTCCTCCGACCACTGCAGATCTGAATTATTTTCCTCGATTCTTCCTGTTCTATGGTTGTTACTGATGCTTTTTGAGAGTATCTCGGAACGGAACAGTGTTGAGGAAGATAGCACGAGCCGTCATGCTGAGGCTCATAAGCCGACTATATTTGAATTCCGATCTTCTTTCCAGTTTCGAATTTCTGACGCAGCAGGAAGCTGTAGAGCGAGTAAGCTGTCTGAAATCATTTAATCTATGGCTGTTGGTTCTTTCGCTTGCAGGTGCAATACAAACGTAGCTGCGAGCATCCTAATACTCTATTCGTGGTTTATATTCGCATCAAGCCATTCGAGAGATTCAGATCGTTTTTCGCATGCGTGTCATGTTGCATTTATTATACTTAATAGTTATTTCTATTTTGTTGTTTTTTTGTTTTCTTCTGCTCTTTTTTCGACCAGCTATTGAATTAATGGTTGCTACTTTCCGTTTTTTTTTTTTTTCCTCCTTCCAAAGCAGCTGATTGGACTTAAGTCGACTCTATCCGCCACTCCCAGGCACCACGATTAGTGCATATAAGAGAAGAAATAGGGGATCCATGCCATGAGGTTAGCTACTGGAGGGGCTTTTGTTCGTGGTTCCAGTCAATCTAGCGGTTGATTGATCTTTCCAACCTACGCGTTCATCAGATCAGACGTCGCGGTTGCGTAGCATTTGCACTTTCACGGCTGTTCGGGATGCCGAGCGGAAAACAACGGCAGGGCGAGGGGGGCGACGATGAGAACACCGGGAAGGAGCGGCATCGGTCGCACAGAGAGAGGGACAGCGACGGCCATGGCGGCCCGACCCGTCCCCTCGCATCGTTAATGTCGACTGCTCCTCACGTTCCGCATGGGCAGAGATCCCATCATGGACACGACGCGGGACACGCGGGAAACGCAGGAAGCGCGGGACACGCGGGAAACGCGGGACACGCGGGGCAGAGGACTCATAGTAGTGATCCCGGACCAAGAGCTTCGCAGGATGCGCATCGAACTTCACATCACGATCCTTCGCCTCCGCTCGACAAGCATCTTTCAACGCTTCTCGCGGACATTAATGCGGTTTGCTCGAAACCGGGAGGTGGTTTGCCGAATCTTAAAGCCGTGGAGTCGCTTCTCTCGCTTGTGAACTCCGACAAGAGCGACGGGCGACGGAAGCTCAGTTTCGCCGACGCCGTCGCACGTCGTCGCGCGGTCGCTCACGCTGTCGCAGCCACGGACGAGGAGTCGTGCCTGTCGCATTTCATCGTGAAAGGAGGCCTGAAAACCCTAGACGAATGGTTGCAGGAAACGCACAAGGGCAAATACAGCCACGGGAACACCAGCAGCGGCAGCGGCGGCGGCGGAAGCAGCAGGGGGGGAGATACAGTCGATCAGGCCGCGCTAGACGACCTCTTATTGGCGCTTCTCCGCGCGTTAGCGCGATTGCCGGTGGATCTGGAGGCGCTTAAGAGCTGCGTGGTGGGCAAATCGGTGAACCAGCTGCGCAGCCAGCGCAACGCGGAGGTGCAGAGGCGCGCAAAGCGGTTGGTGGAGGTTTGGAAGAAGCGCGTGGACGAGACGCTCGCGGAGAACATGGGGCGGAAGAGCGCAGGGGGAGGGGGGAGCGCGGGGGGGAGTGCAGGGGGAGGGGGAACGGGAGCCGCAGCAAACGTAGGTACAGCAGCAACTGGAGGGACAGCAGCTTCAGGAGCAGAAGCAGGGACAGGGGGGGCGGGTGCGAAAAAAGGGACACCCGTTATAGTCACACCTGTGGCCGCATCACCCCTGCGACCGTCCGCTGTTCCCTCCCCTGCGTCTTCGCCAACCCAGCTCACAGCAGGCTCGGGGCAGCTTCGGGCTGCCAAACCTAGTGGCTCGGCAGCGGACGGGGGAGACGTCAGTGGGACGCCCGGGGCGGGGAGAGGGCGAGGGGGAGGCGGATCGGGGGAAGGGGGGCGGCCGCCCCCTTCCCCCCTGTCCGTTCCGGGGGGCAGTCCCAGGGGCCGGGGGGAGTCGCAGGTTTCGCCTGGGAGCCTGCGAAGTGGTAACCAGAAGGGTCACGCGAGTGGGTTACCAAAATCGGGTGGGAGTGGAAGCAAGGTGGTGAGTCCAAGAGGAGTAGGCTCGGCAGGCAAAGGGACAGGAACGGAACGAGCGGAGGGTAAGGTTTCTGGGGTGGGAGGAGGGGAGAAGGGAGATTCTGCGGAGGAGGAAGCGGGAGAGGAGAAGAAGAGAGCGGAGAGGGAGGAACGAAGAAGTGGGCATTTGCAAGCGGAGGAAGAGAGAGAGAGGGAGAAGGAGAAGGAGAAGGAAAAGGAGGAGAAGAAGGAGAAGGAGAAGAAGGAGAAAGAGATGGAGAAGGAGAAGGAGAAGGAAAATGAGGGGAAGAAAGCGGGGACGGGGAGCAAACCAGGGAAAGGGGTTCTGAAAGAGGAGGGCGTTGTGGCCGGCCGTGAGCCGTCAAAAGCAGAAAGATCAGCGGAAAGAGATGGTGCTGCCGCGTCTGCTGTGGGTTCTGTTGCCGCTGAGTCGTCTGATGGGCAAGGGAAGCTGCAGGAGCGAGCTGGTTCGAGCAAACCGCAGGGAGAGGCTGTGCCTTCGCAAGAGACGGAGAATGAGGAGAAGGAGAAGCGGAGGGAAAGGAGGGAGGGGAAGGAAGGAAAGGAGGGGAAGGATCAAGAGGATGGAAAGGAGGATAAGGAAGGGAAGGAGGAAAGGGAGGTGGAGGCCAGAAGATTCTCACCAGGGGAGGCGGAGAGACCGCGGTTGGCTGAGGAGGGAACGGCAAAGGAAGGCGAAGGGGTGGAGGGGGAAGACGGAGAGAACGAGCGTGGGGAGAAGGCGGAGAAAGGGGCTGAATTCGCGGGGAGGAGGGAGGGGGGCGAAGGAGCTAGTGGTGTCAAGGAAACAGAGTCGGGCTTGGAGGAAACACTGAATGGAACGAGAGGTGGGGTCGGATCAGAGGATGGTGCAGGGGCAGCTGGGAATGATGGTGCTGGTGCTCGTGTGGTTGGAGAAGAAGGGGGTAAATCAGAAACCGTGGCTGCTGCTGCTGCTGCTGCTGCCACTGCTCCTTCTCCTCCTCCTGCCGCTGCAGCTGCTGATGTTGCCGCAGGTTCTGAAGCAGCAGAAAAAGGAGAGTGTGCGACAATAAATCGGCTAGTGGTGAAGATCCCAGTACCTGTAAAGAGCCCTGCTGTTAGCCCAGCCAGTGGGGTGGGGGGCCGTCAAGTAGCGAGTTCCCCTATGCGCAGCAGCAGCGAGAAGGCGTCTAGTGGGAGCCGGAGGGAGGAGGAGGAGAAGGGGAGGAAGGGAAAGGAGAAGAAAGGGGAGAAGGAGGGTGAGGGGTGTGGGGAGGAGGATGGAGAGAGGAAGAGTGGGGTGGATGGGAAGGGGAGGGAGAAGAAAGGGGAGAAGGAGAGTGAGGGGCGGGAGGTGGAGAGGGATAGGGAGCATGGGAAGAAGAGGGAGAGGGAGAAGGATAGGGAGAAGGGGAAGGAGAAGGAAAGAGGGTCGAAGGATAGGGATAGGGAGTCTAAGAGGAGTAAGCATAAGCATAGGGAGGGTAAGGAGGGTAAGGAGGGGAAGAAAGAGAAGGGGAAGGACAGAAAGGATAGGAAAGAAAAGGAGAGGGAGAAGGAGAGGGATAAAGAGAAGAAGGAGAAGGATAAGGATAAGGACAAGGATAAGGAGAAGGAGAGGGAGAAGGAGAAGGAGAAGGAGAAAGAGAGGGAGCACCGGAAGGACAAGGAGAAAGACAAGGGAAGGAAGGAGGAAGGAGGCAGTCCAGCAGAGCGAGTGGAGGGTGGGGAGGGCGCAGGAGGGCAAGGAGGCGCACAGAGGGTGTCTGGAGAGACAGGGAAGCCAGAAGAAGGAGAAGGGCGGGCGGATAGGGATGGGTCCAGGGCAGAGCAAGATACGAACAGCAAGGCAGAGTGTGATACGAAGCACAAGGCAGATCGAGATACAAAGAGCAAGGCAGATTTGCTTGTCAAGGGCATGGGCGAGAGTGCGTTGGATGGGGCAGTTGCAGGGCGAGAGTGCGTGGGTGGTGGCGCTGCCGCTGGTGCCTTGCTTGCTGAGGGGGCGGCTGTGGAAGCAGCAGGGGGTGGGGGGGTTGCAGGAGGGATTGCGGTTGGGGCTGCAGGTGGGGTGGCAGGGAGTGAAAAGGAGGAGAGGAGCAAGCAACAGTGGGAGACGGGGAGGGATGGGGAAGCGGGGAATGATGAGATGGGGGGAGAGATTAGAAGTGCTGGCGCGGTTGTCAGTGGTGGTTCTGGTGGTGCTGGTGCTGCTGGTGGTGCTGGTGCTGCTGGTGCTGCTGGTGCTGCTGGTGCTGCTGGTGCTGCTGGTGGTGCTGGTGCTGCTGGTGGTGCTGGTGCTGCTGGTGGTGCTGGTGCTGCTGGTGGTGCTGGTGCTGCTGGTGGTGCTGGTGCTGCTGGTGGTGCTGGTGCTGCTGGTGCTGCTGGTGCTGCTGGTGGTGCTGGTGCTGCTGGTGGTGCTGATTCTGGTGGTGGTCGTGATGGTGGGGACGCAAGGCAAGATTCTGGTGACGTGGGTAGTGGGAGAAGGAGTGGGGGAGGCCGACAGGAGGTAGCAGGGGAAAAGGCAAAAGAAGAAACGGGAGCAGAGACGCGGGCAGGGGCAGGGGCAGGGACAGATAAGGGCGGTGGGGCAGGAGAGCAGGGGATGGTGACACAGGAAGGGGGCTTGAAGGGGGAAGAAGGAGTAGGAGTAGGAGGATTAGGGGGATTAGGGGGAGGAGGAGAATCAGGGAAAGACTTGATAGGCTTTTTAGCAGAGGCAGCCGTTGCAGGGCCATTAGAGAAGGAGGGTGCTGTTACGGGCGAGACACTGAAGGAAGGTGCAGGGAGAGGGACGGGAGATGGGCGGGAAGAGGTAAGTGGCAGGGAAAAAGGTTCTGATGGTAAGGGGCTGAAGCAGCAGCAGGGAGAGCAGGAGGGGGAAACGGAGCAGCAGCAGCAGCAGCAGCAGGGGGAGCAGGAGGAGAGGGCAGAAGTTGGTGGTGGGGACGAGAGAAGGCTAATTGTAAGATTTTCTGTGAACAAACGTGGGAAAGAGGAGGAGGAAAAAAATGGTGTGACAGATCTGGGGGGAGCAGCAAGTGGGGCTGCTTCTGAGAGTAAATCCCTGGAGCGTCAGGGCAGGAGGAATGCTGAGAACCAAGCGGCAAGTCCTGTTAGTGGCGAGCAGACACAGGGGGATCGGCTGAGCGAGGGGAATGCTGCAGAGGTGTCAGGAGGGGTAGGGAAGGGTTGGGGTGGGAGGAGGGAGCAAGAGAGATTGGGTGCTGAGTGCAAGGAGCGGGAAGCTTCTGGGAATGGTCCTGCGGAGGGGCGTGGTGAGTTTGAGGGCGCGAAGGAAAGTGAGCAGAGGAAGGGAAGAGAGGGAGTGAGAGAAAGAGACGGGGGGAGAGAAAGGGAGGCGGGGAGAGAAACGGAGGGTGTGAGAGAGAGGGAGGGTGTGAGAGAGAGGGAGAGCGATCCTGGCCCTGGGAGTGGAGGAGGGCAGAGGGCTGACGTGGCGATGGCAACTGGTGGAGGGCGGCAGTTCTCGGACTATCTGCCGCCCAGAAGAAGAGGGCTGGACAGCGATCGGCCCCGTGCCCCCACTGGCTCAAGTGAGTGTGTTGGTTTTCTGATTATGGTAGGAGACGTGCGTGCGTGTGTGTGTGTGTGTGTGTGTGTGTGTGTGTGTGTGTGTGTGTGTGTGTGTGTGTGTGTGTGTGTGCGGTATTTGTTTTTTGTTTATTTATGTATTTTTTTTCTTCTTTTTTTTCCGGTTCATTATATCATAATGATAGTGGTTGTTTACCCTGTTAGTTCCACTTAGTGTCCTGCTGACTGTTACAATTGTTTTTCTTTTTCTTTTCTTGTTTCTGTGTTTGTGCCTTGTCTCACTCCCTTCCACTATGCACCACTTTTGCCTCCGGTCTCCCCCAACCCGTCTCCTTCTGTCTATCCCTTTTCTTACCACCGTTGTGCCAGGGCTCCCCTACTGCCTTCCCTACAGTTCCTCTTACAAACGTTCTCTTCTCTCTCGCCTTGGCTTTTTCTTCCCGTCCCTCCAGGCATAGTCACAGGCAGGCGATCGGCTGTGATTATAAAGGGCACCGTCATCCCCTCGCCACTCTCCCACCGGCCAGTTAAGAAAGTCAAGGCAGTCAAGATGGCCGCCGTTGCCTCTGTCATGGAAGCTTCCCGCCCCAGCACCCTCCCTTCCTCCCCCCCTCACTCCACCCACGAGCCCACACTCCACCCCCTCACGTCCTCTCTCTCATCTCTCTCCTCCCCTCCTCGCGCCCCTCCCCCCTCCTCTCCTCTGCTCTCTCGGATCCCCAAGGGGAGGCGGTCCCCTGTTCCTTGGTTGCCCATGGGGGGTTCTAGGGGTGCGTCTCCTGCTGTTTCCGAGGGGGACGGGGGTGAGGCAGAAAGGAGGAGTCCCAAGGGGTTGAGTGAGATTGCGAGTGGGTTGAGAGGTGTGGGTGACGGTGCTACGCCTGCTACTGCTGCTGCAGATGTTCCCGTTGCTTCTGGAGCTGCAACTGCAGCAGCTGCTGGTGATAGTGGTGGTGGTGGTGGTGCTGCTGCTGCGGCTGATGCTGCTACTCCTGCTGTTGTTCCCGCTGCAGGTCCTGCTGCTGTTCTTGCTACTGAGTCTGGTGGTATGGATGAGTGTGGGGTAAGCAGAGCTGTTACACCCAGTGAACCCCAAGGGGTGAGAGAGAATGCCTCGGATTCTCGAGGGCTGGCGGGCGGCGGCAATTGCAACAGTGCAGATGCGGACGAGGATCCGCCGCCCACCGAGACTGCTACAGTGCTGGCGTCGCTGATGAGCGTGGCGGGTGCAGAGCCGGCTGATCCGGGGGAGGTGCCATCTGGGGGAGGCGCTGAGGGGAGTGGTGGCGGGGGCAGAAAATTAGGGTTTGGGGGCCTGACTGGGCGTTTGAGTGAGAAGGTGAGTGGGCGGGCGAGCAGGGATGGGGAGTCAAGGGTCGGGCAAGAGAGAGGAATGATGGAGGAGCGGGGAGAGACGGGAGGAATGGTAGGGATAGGAAGTGGCAGCACGGGTGGAGGCATGGGAAAGAGCATAGGAGGGGGCATAGGAGGGGGCATAGGAGGGGGCATAGGAGGGGGCATAGGAGGGGGCATAGGAGGGGGCACGGGAGGGGGCATGGAGGATGGGCCAAGTGCGGATCAGCTAGCGATTGAATGCCTTCTGAAAGCTGCAGAAGCGAAGGACGAAGGGGAGGGGGGGTTCACTGATGGTAACCTGGGCAGCAGAGGGAGACTGGAGGACGGGACAGCGGCAGATGTGAAGGGGGAGGTAGGTTTGGCTTCAGGAGGGGCAGCAGCAGCTGGGGAAGCAGCAGCAGCAGCAGGGGTTGCAGACGCAGCTGTGAAACCAGAAGCAGGAGCAGGGGCAGGGGCAGGGGCAGGGGCAGGGGCAGGGGCAGGGGCAGGGGCAGGGGCAGGGGCAGGGGCAGCAGATTCAGAGGATGAAGAGGAGTTGAGTGTGGCAGCAGTTTTGGCGTCTGGTAAGTGGCAGGGCAAGGGCCGGCAAAACGGCCAACTGATTTCCAGTTCTGGTCGCTCTGATACCATTCCGACGGCCTCTGCTCTCGCCTCTGCTGCTGCTGCAGCAGCTGCAGCCAGTGCTGCCCTGCACGCCGCTTCCCTGTCCTCTGCCCTGCCCTCACACCCTTCCCCCCTGTCATCCCCTCCTCTCTCCCACCGCTCCTCCCTGTCTGCTTCTTCTCTCCCTGCCGCCTTGCAAAGTCCCTGGCGGGCGGCTCTTGCTGCTGAGATCGAGAGGGAGAAGAGCGAGGGGGCATGGGTGGCCGGATCAGATATTGTGGTAGGCTCTGGGGCAGGCGCAGTGGCAGGGAGGGCGGAAGGGAGAGAGGCAGAGGGAACGGGGATAGCTGGAGAGGGAGAAGGGGAGAAGCAAGTGAGGATGCCTGTTGCTAAGAGGCTGAAGGTGTGTGGTGATGGGGATACTGACAGTGTGGGGAGTGGGGGAGTGGGGGGTAAGAGGGGGAAAGGGGGTGGGAAGAAGGGGGAAGAAGGGGAGAGGGCAGTGGACGGGGGTAGGAAGGAAGCAGGGGAGAGGAAGGAAGAGGGGGGAGAGAAGAAGGAAGGGGGCGAGAAGGTGAAGGTAACAAGGAAGAGGACCGGAGCAGGGGCGTCAAAGACAGGAGGGGAAGGGGCACGGAAAGCTGGAGTGGGGAAACCACGTGGGCTGGTTAGAACCAAGGATGGGTCTGCAGCAGCAGCACCTGCAGCGGTAGCAGCAGAAGCAGCAGCAACAGCAGCAGCAGCAGGACGAGGAGCAGCAGCAGCAGCAGCAGCAGCAGCAGCAGCAGCAGCAGCAGGAGGAGGAGGAGCAGCAGCAGCAGCAGCAGCAGCAGCAGCAGCAGCAGCAGCAGGAGGAGGAGGAGGAGGAGCAGCAGCAGCAGCAGTAGCTTCTGCAGGAGCTGTGGCAGGGGCTGCGGTTGAGGTAGTGAAAGAGGAGAAGCAGGACGGTGCAGGGGAGGCGGGTGGGAAAGTGGGGACACCAAAGAAGCAGGGCAAGCAGGAGAAGGAGGAAAGGCAGGAGGATATTCCACTGCGGTGGCTGCAGAAGCAACAGGCAGCTGAAAGGAAGGAGGCGAAGGCTCGTCAGCAGCAACAACAACCGCAGCTGAAGCAGCAGCCACCGCAGCCGCAGCTGATGCACCAGCAACAGCAACAGTTGAAGCAACAGCAGTTGAAACAGCAACAGCAGCAGCAGCAGCGGGTGCAGGAGGGAGTGGGGGTGAGCAAAGGGGAGGCGGGCGAGGAGGAGGGGGTGCTGGGGTTGCAGCAGCTGCAGCAGGCTCTGATGCACGGCCAAGCCGGGTCTTCAACGCAGCAGCAGCAGCAGCAGCAGCAGCAGCAGCAGCAGCAGCAGCAGCAGCTGCAGCAGCACCAGCAGCAGTCCCCGTTAGTGTCACAGTCACAGTCGCACAAGGGCCTGCCATTAAAAGTGCAAAAAGGGTCGTTACAGTCACAAAAAGGCGTACAATTGCATGGGCAGAAAGCATCACAGGTACAGGTACAACAGGGGCTCCACTCGTTACAAACATTTTCGCAGCAGGGGCTGCACTCGTTACAGTCACAAGCACAAGGAGGGTTGCAGTTACAGGCACAAGCACAGAAGGCAGCGCAGTTGCCAGAGAAGCAGGGGCAGGCTCATGGGGCGAAGGCCGGTGCGGCTACAGGGGGGGCTGGTGGGACAAAGAGGAAGGCAAGCAGAGCAAAGAAATCTCCCGACAAAGCTCTGCAGCAGCAGCAGCAGCAGCAGCAGCAGCAGCAGCAGCAGCAGCAGCAGCAGCAGCAGCAGCAGCAGCAGCAGCAGCAGCAGCAGCAGCAGCAGCAGCAGCAGCAGCAGCAGCAGCAGCAGCAACAGCAAGGGCAGCAGCAGAAGCAGCAGGAGGAGAAGCCGGCTGAGAAGCGGCCTCGCATTCTGTTTGACTTTGACCTAAACGTCGCTGAGGACACTGCTGAAGACGCTACAGCTGCCGCTACAGATGGTGCTACAACCGGTCCAGCAGCCACCTATCCTCCTGCTGCTGCCCCTGCACCTGCCCCTGTCTCTTCCCACGCCCCTGCGCCTGCCCCTGCCCCTGCGCCTAGAGGGTTTGACCTGAACTTTGCAGAGGAGGCGGAGGAGGAAGAGGCGGAGTTTCTTCCTCCTCATCCCCCTCCTGCTGGGGGCGCTGCTGCTGCTGCTTCAGTCTCTAATAGGCAGTCTGCTGACGGTGCGCCTGCTGCTCCCTCGGCTCCCGTTGCTGCCCCTGCCGCCCCCACTTCCCCACCAGCATCACAGAATCGGTTTTTGGACTTCGATTTGAATGATGGGCCAGGGTTTGGAGATGAGCCATTGCAGCCGTCTCCCTCCCCTCCTCCTCAAGCAAATAGAGCAGCTGTAGCAGCAGGAGCAGCTGTAGCAGGTGGGGCAGGTGGGGCGGCTGGAGCAGGTGGAACTGTGCCAGGCGTCTCGTTTCACCCCATGCACTCCGCCTCTCCTTTCTTGCATGCGCAAGCTCAAGCGCAGCAACGGCAGCAACACCAGCTGCAACAGCAGCGGCAGCAGCAACAACAACAGCAACACCAGCAGCAACAGCAGTGGCAACACCAGCAGCTACAGCAGCAGCAACAGCAGCAGCAGCAACAACAGCAGCGGCAAGGGCAGCAGCAACAGCAACAACAGCAACAGCAACAGCACCGGCAACAGGAACAGCAACACCAGGCACACCAGCAGCAGCAGCAGCAGCAGCAACAGCAGCAGCAGCAACCACAACATTCAGTGCAGCAATTACCCTCTCAGCTACAGTCCAGACCAGCAGGGGCAGCAGCTGCAGTAGGATCTTCAGCCAGTGGGAGCCTGCCACCTGGCAACATCCCGTTGCTGCCCCCCGGGCTGGCGTCTCACCCTCTGTTTGGCAAGCTGGCAGAGCAACTGCTGAGTCAGCAGGGGGTGAGTCAGCAGCAGCAGGTATTGGGCCAGCTGGCGTTTCTGCAGCAGGCTCTGCCACCTCAGCTGCAGATGCAGATGCAGCAGCAACTGCAGATGCTGCAGCAGAACCAGCAGCAGTTGCAGCAACAGCAGCAACGGCAGCTCCAGATGCAGCAGCAGCAGCAGCAGCAGCAGCCGCAGCAACAGGAGCAGCAGCAGCAGCAGCAGCAGCAGCAGCAACGGCAACAGCAGCAGCAGCAGCATCAGCAGCAACGGCAACAGCAGCAACAGCAGCAGCAACACCAGCAGCAGTTGTCGCAACAGGCCCCGTCACTACAGCAGTCACAACAGCAGCAACAGCAGCATCACCAGCAGCAACAACCACCACAACAGAACCAGCAGCAGAAGCATCAGCAGCAGCCGCAGCAGGAGCAACATCTCCCTCCTCGTTTCTCCCAGCAGCAGATTCGCCCCCCAGCAGGCTCAGCAGCAGCCGGCCTTGCAACGTCTGTAGGCCACCACTCTCCTGCCCCTCTACCCCCATCCGCACATCCAGCTGCATCACCAGCATCATCAGCAGCAGCACCACCAGCACTAGCACAGCCTTTCACGGCCTCTGCTTCGGTTCATGCCACTTCTGCCATCGTCCCATCCCGTTTCAGCACAAGCGGCATGCCATCAAATTTCACCACTAGCAGCACTACCAGCAGCAGCATTCCATCACACGCCACGAATCCCCGCCACCCCACCACACTCTCTCAATTCACGCACCTTCCACGGCCGTCCATGCTTTCTGCAGGAGGCCCGTTCCCCTCCTCCTCAGGTCCCCTCCCCAGCGGTGTGCTCTCTGCTCTTATGGCCGCCTCCTCCGCCTCTGCAGCTGCTGCTTCTTCTGCTTCTGCTGCTGCTGTTGCTGCTGCCTCTGCTTCTGCTTCTGCTTCTGCCTCTGCCACTGCCTCTGCTGCTGCTGCCCAGCCCTCTTCTGCTGCTCCTACGTCTGTGTCTCCCCCTTTATTCCCTCCCAGCAACAGCCCGCATCTTTCCACACCAGGATCATCCCCCTCTCCCTCCCTCTCTGCAGCTGTAGCAGCCGGTACAGCTGCAGCTGTAGCAACCAGTGCAACTGCAGCAGCAGGGGGGGCGACTCGGGTTGTAGCAGGAGGGGCGACAGGGACTGTAGCAGGAGGGGCGGCAGGGACTGTAGCAGGAGGGGCGACAGGGACTGTAGCAGGGAGAGCGGGTGGGCTGGCAGGGGCGGCGCTACCAGCCAGCCTAGCAGCAGCGGCTGTAGCAGCGAATTTAGCCCCTGGAGCCTCTTCAATCAGCCAGCTGTTGCAGAGACTGCCAGGCATGGCTGGAACAGCACCCGCTACAGCCGCTACAGCTGCTACAGCCGCTGCAGGTGCTACAGTTGGTGCTACTTCTGCTGCTAACGCTACAGCTGCTGCTGTGCTTGGTTCTGGGGGGGTTCTGAGTGGCGTTAACATGGGTAGCATGGGTATCAGTGGGACTAGCAGCATAGGTAGCATAGGGATGAGTGGGCTTAACAGCATCGGTAGCATGGGTAGTAGTGGTGCTATCAACAGCATGGGCAGCATGGGTAGCATGGGCATGAGCGGACCTAACACCCTGAATAATAGCATGTCCGCTTCTAGCAGCTTAGGTAACAGCAGCAGCAGCATGGGTGCACTGAACAGCCTCAGTGCTCTCTTCGCCTCGTCCTCCCTCCCTACAGTCACACAGCCTCCAGCGTCCCTCCTGGCCAAGCTAGCCCATGCAGGTGTGCCGCTAGCAGGTGTGCTTCAAACGGGGCTCTCCCAGTCCGTCCTCACCCAAACCAGCGTTCCTGTAACGAGCACCCCGTCAGCAGTAGGAGGGGGAGCAGGAGGAGGGGCAGGAGGAGGAGCAGGAGGAGGAGCAGGAGGAGGAGCAGGAGGAGGAGCAGGAGGAGGGGCAGGAGGAGGAGCAGGAGGAGGAGCAGGAGGAGGTGCAGGAGGAGGTGCAAGGAGCAGCCGAGGCGGAAATATCCCCCCTCTCACCGGCTCTCCTGCTCCCCCGCTCCCCTTTCGCCCGTTCTTTCGAGGGGCAGGCTTTAACCCGGCTGCAGCTGCAAGCTCAGGAGCGAATGCTGCCAGCGGTGGTCAGAACTTAACAAATGTGAGTACTGCTTTTGAGTCGACTCAAAACTCGGGCTTTAACCCTAAACCCTAAACCCTAAACTCGGGCTTTAACCCTAAACCCTAAACTCGGGCTTTAACCCTCCCCGGTGCAGCTGCAAGCGCAGGAGCGAATGCTGCCAGCAGTGGTCAGAACCTGACACATGTGAGTGGCAGTGCAGGGGTGAATAGGCAGTATTGGTGAAACACTGGTATGTGCTAGTGGTGCTGTTGGAGTGACTGGATGCACACATTGGTCAAGCACGTTCCGCTGCTCCTGCTGTTCGTCCTGCCTCTTGCCCCTCCCCACACTCTTGTAATTACCACCCCTCCCCACACTCTTGTAATTACCACCCCTCCCCACACTCTTGTAATTACCACCCCTCCCCACACTCTTGTAATTACCACCCCTCCCCACACTCTTGTAATTACCACCCCTCCCCACACTCTTGTAATTACCACCCCTCCCCACACTCTTGTAATTACCACCCCTCCCCACACTCTTGTAATTACCACCCCTCCCCACACTCTTGTAATTACCACCCCTCCCCACACTCTTGTAATTACCACCCCTCCCCACACTCCCCACACCCCCTGCGCTCCACCCGTCCCGCCAGTCCCTACAGGCCCTACTTCAGAAGCAGCTCCTGCCAATGCCAGGTTTCCCTCGATCCCTGTCCCCCCACACGCTCTTAATCGCTGCAACACTCCCCACACTCCCTGCACTCCATCCGTCCCCGCCAGTCCCTACAGGCTCTACTCCAGAAGCAGCTCCTGCCAATGCCAGGTGTCTTTTTAGTGTCGACTAAAAAATCACTCCCCACACCCTCTCCACACCGCCCACACTCCCCCACACATTCCCCACACTCCCCTCACTCCACCACCCGTACCCTCCAGTCCCTGCAGGCTCTTCTTCAGAAGCAGCACCTGCCAAAACCAGGTGTCACACAGCCATTAGCCGCCGTTGCTGCAGCTGCCGCCGCCGCCGCCGCCGGTGCTGCTGGTGCTGGTGTTGGTGCTGCTGGTGGTGCTGCAGGTGCTGGTGATGGTGGTGCTGCTGCTGGTGGTAGCAAGGGCAGCAGTGCCGCCACTGCTCCTGCTGCTGCTGCTGCTGCTTCCACTGCTTCAGCGGCAGCGCCTATGGGTCCGAGAAACGAGCCCACTAGGGTACAGTCGCCATGGGCTCAGGGAAAGTCGGCTCAGCAGCAACTCTCATCCCTGCAACAGCAGCAGCAGCAGCAGCAGCAGCAGGGAAAGTTTGCACAGCCACAGCATCAGCAGCATCAGCAGCATCAGCAGCATCAGCTGCAACACCCACAGCAAGCGCCGCAGCTCTCTGCTGCCTTCCCCATCCCCCGCCGCGGATCAAACCCTTCCCTCTCCGCCCACCCCTCCCTCTCCGCCCACCCCTCCGCCCACCCCTCCCTGCAAAAAACCCCTCTTTCCCGCCCTGCGTCTGGCCCTGACCTCCATAACCCCCCTCTCCCCTCCTCTCTCCCCTCTATCGCCTCTCTCCCGTCTCTCCCCTCTATTCCTTCTCTCCCCTCGTTTGTGTCACGGCATGATATGAATCAGCCCCCTCCTGCTGCTCCGGGCATGCCTCCTGTTGCTGCACCTCCTGTTACTGTCACGTCCTCTCTTGCTGCTCCCTCTGCTGTTCCTTCTTCTGCTGCTGCTGCTCCTCACATTGCTGCTTCTCCTTCTATTCCTGCCGCCCCTGCTTCTGCTGCTGCTGCAGTCGCAGTGGCAGTGGCAGCTAAACCCGCCTCCTTAATCGCCGATCTAAATCAGGAACAGATAGCACCTCCCCCAGTTAACACCTCGCCAAATGCCTCTCCGAAAGCGCAGGAAAAGTCGGAGAAAGGGGGCGGTGGTGGGGATTCGGGAGGAGGAGGAGGGGGACGGGGATGGCTAGATTTGGATTTAAATGCTGGCCCGGAGGCAGGGGGGGAGGAGGAGGCGGAGGGGGAAGAACATGGGGAGATGGGGGAAAAGGAAGAGGTCAGGAGAAAGGGAGAGGTGGGGGGGAAGGGAGAGGCGGAGGGGAAGGGAGAGGCGGAGGGGAAGGGGGAGTTGGGGGGGAAAGGGGAAGCACGAGGAAGAGAGGAGGTGGGGGGAGGCGAGAAGGCAGTCGAGGGGGGAGAGCGACAGCAGCAGGTGGAGAAGCTGGGAGGGCCTTTGGCAGAGGAGGGGAGTGGGAAAGTAGCACCAGCAGCAAGAGAAGATTCGGTTTCGGGTGGTGGGGTGGGTATAGGGAGGATTGAAGAAGGGTCGAACAGAGTTCCTGCCACTGGCCCTGCTGCTGCTGGATCAGCTACAGCTGCTGGTAAAGCTCTAGGTATTGTTGCTGCTACAGCTACAGCTATTCCTGCTGGTATGGCTACAGCTGTTGCAGCTGGTATAGCTACAGCTGCTGTTGCTGCTGCTGCAACAGCCACAACAACAGCGGCTGAAGCTAGTGGTTCTTCTGTTGCTGTCGCTCCTGTGTTCTCCCCTGCTTGTGCTCCATCTGCTGCTGCTACCGCTGGGTCAAAACCGCCCCTGCTTGCAGCAGAGGGTGTAACCGCAGCAACTGCTGCAGCAGCAGCAGCAGGTGTAGCAGCAGGGGCAGCAGCAACCGCAGGGTCAGGGAGTGCTGTAGTGGCATCTGGGGTTGGAGCAGGGAGAAATGTGCTGATCAATCCTGTGAAGGCAGGAGTTGGGGTAGAGACAGGAGCAGGGGCAGCGAAAACAGAGGCAGCAGGGGCAGGGGCAGCAGGAAAAGGAGTTGGGGTAGAGGAAGGGAAAGGGGCAGGGGCAGGGGCCGGGGCAGGGGCAGGAGCAACAGGGGCAGGGGCAGCAGGGACAGGGGCAGCAGGGACAGGAGCAGCAGTGGCAGGATTAGCAGGGGCAGGAGCGGCAGGGACAGGAGTTGGGGCAGGAGCAGAAGAAGGGGCAGGGGCAGGGGCAGGGGCAGGGGCAGGGGCAGGGGCAGGAAGTGAGAAGGAGGGGCAGGCGCAGGTGCAAGAGCAGGTCACTAAAGCAGAGCTTGTGGGGAGTGCTGCTGCTGGCAGGATAGGCAATTATGGGAGAAACGCACCGGTGCAGCTGGAGCAGGAGGAGCAGAAGGAGCTTCACAAGCAGTTGGAAGGAGCTAAAGCTGCGGCTGGCACGGTGGGCAGTTGTGAGAGAAACGCACCGGTGCGGGTGGAGCAGAAGGAGCTTCACAAGCAGTTGGCAGCAGCTAAAGCTGTGGCTGGTTTTGAAGCCACTGTAGCAGCGGTGCACGCAGTGACACCTCAGCTTGCCCCTCAACTTGCCCCCCAGGTCGGCTCTCAGGTCGCCGTCGCCTTTCAGGTTGCGTTTCAGGTGGATCCACGGTTATCTCAGGAGCAGGTGGGGACTGCGAGCGAGGGGGGGCGCAAGAGAAAGGCACCTGAGGATGGGTTGGAGGAGGGAGTGGATGCTCCTCAGGTTGTTTCTCAGGTGGGTCCTCAGGCAGCTCAGGAGCAGGTGGGCGCTGCGGGCGTGGGGGGGCGCAAGAGAAAGGCCAATGAGGATGGGTTGGAGGATAGAGTGGATGCGAAGAGGAGGGAAGAGGAGAGAGGGGAACAGAAGAAGAAAGAGGAGGAAGGGGAGGGGGAGAAGGAGAAGGAGAGGGAGGAGGATAAGGAGGAGAGGGAGAAGGAGATGGAAATTGAGTTGTTGAAAAGGCCACTGCCAGTTGCCCAGGCGTCTCAGGCTGTAGCGCAGCAGGCTGTTGCAGGGGAGGCTGTAGCACCACTGGTTGCACCACTGGTTGTAGCAGAGGAGGCTGTAGCACTGCAGACTGTAATACAACAGGCAGCACCACAGGCTGTAGTATCACAGGCCGCAGCACCGCAGGCTGTTGCACCACATACTGTAGCTCAACATGCTGTAGCACCACCGGCTGTAGCACAGGCGGTTGTGGTACAGGGGGCTGCACCACGGGCTGTAGCACCACAGGCTGTAGCGCCACAGGCTGTAGCACCACAGGCTGTAGCGCCACAGGCTGTAGCACCACAGGCTGTAGCACCACAGTCTGTAGCACCACAGTCTGTAGCACCACAGGGTGTAGCACCACAGACTGTAGCACCACAGGGTGTAGCACCACAGACTGTAGCACCACAGGCTGTAGCACCACAGTCTGTAGCACCACAGGGTGTAGCACCACAGTCTGTAGCACCACAGGGTGTAGCACCACAGACTGTAGCACCACAGGGTGTAGCACCACAGGCTGTAGCACCACAGGCTGTAGCACCACAGGCCGCCGTAGCACAGGAGATTGTAGCAGAACAGACTGGAGAGGGGGCTGTTGCAGAGAAGGTTGCAGAGGGGGCTGTAGCAGAGACGGCAGTTGAGGGGCCTAAGGTTGCAGAGGGGGCTGTAGCAGAGAAGTTTGTTGAAAAGGCTGTAGCAGAGAAGTCTGTTGAAAAGGCTGTAGCAGAGAAGGCTGTTGAAAAGGCTGTAGCAGAGAAGGCTGTTGAGAAGGCTGTAGCAGAGAAGGCTGTTGAGGAAGTGAAATTGTCAGGACGGAAGCGAGTATGGCTAGACCTGGAGGAGCCGGCGAAGGGGTTGGAGGAACCAGCTAAGGGGTTGGAGGAACCGGCTAAGGGGTTGGAGGAACCGGCTAAAGGGTTGGAGGAACCGGCTAAGGGGTTGGAGGAACCGGCTAAGGGGTTGGAGGAACTGGCTAAGGGGTTGGAGGAACCGGCTAAGGGGTTGGAGGAACCGGCTAAGGGGTTGGAGGAACCGGCTAAGGGGTTGGAGGAACCGGCTAAGGGGTTGGAGGAACCGGCTAAGGGTTTAGAGGAACCGGCTAAGGGGTTGGAGGAGGAATGTGGAATGGTCGGGGGAAGGGAGGAGAAAATAGAGGAGGTGAGTGGAGGGAAGGAGGAGAGGATAGAGAAGGAGACAGTTGGAAAAGAGACAATGGGAAGTGAAGAGAATGGAACAGTATGGAAGGCGGAGAGGGGAGAGGAGAAGAGGAAAGCGCAGGAAGAGAGGGAAGAGAAGCAGGAGAAGGGAGAGAAGGGGAGGGGAGGGGAGGAAGAGAGCGGAGTGAAGGAGGAGACAGTAGGAAAGAAGGAGAGGGGAGGGGAGGAAACATTAGGGAAGGAGGAGAAGGGAGAAAAGGAGGAGACAGTAGGAAAGGAAGAGAGGAGAGGAAATGAGGAGGGGGGAGAGGAGAGGGTACATGCAAATGTGAAGGGAGAAGGAAAGGGAGAAGAGAAGGGAGAACATGGAATGACTAAAGTCGTGGTGAGTGGAGTTGGGGAGAGGGGAGAGGGGAGTGAAGGCGAGAAGAGGAGAGAGGATGAAGAGTGTGGGGAGAGGACAGAGGGGAAAGAGAGTGGGGAGAGGGCAGAGCGGAAAGAGAGTGGAGAGAGGGCAGAGCGGGAAGAGAGCGGGAAGAGTAAAGATTGGGTTGAAGTTGGGGAGAATAAAACGGGGGGAGAAGGTCCGGATAGGACTGAAGAAGAGAGCGGGGGAGAGGGTGGGGAGAGAAGAGAAGTGGAAGAGAGTGGGGAGAGGAGAGAGGGAGGAGAGAGCAAAGAGGGGAGAGGGGGTACTGTGGAGGCTTCTCAGGTTGAGAGGGTGGTTTTTGGGGAGGAGAAGGAGCAGGTGGGTGGGGAGAGGGCAGCGAGGGATTCAGGGCAAGAGTTTCCTGAGGCTCTAGTGGAGAGAATCGGCGGGGATAGTGTGATGGTTGCACGGGCTGGGGCGGAGGAAGTGAAAGCAGGGGGGGAGAAGGAGCAGGTGGTTGGGGAGAGGGCAGCCTGTGATTCAGGGACAGAGATTCCTGAGGCTTTGGAGGGAAGTGCTGGTGGGGGTGGTGTGGTTGTTGCACGGGTGGGGGTTCCGGTGGGGGGGAAGACGGGGGGGAGGAAAGCAGGGGAGGAGGAAACAAGGGAGGAGAAAACCGGGCAGGAGAAAAAAGGGGAGGCGAAAGCAGGGGGGGAGGAGTCAGGCCAGGTGAAAACACGGGGGGTGAAAGCAGGTGGGGAGGAGTCAGGCCAGGTGAAAACACGGGGGGTGAAAGCAGGGGAGGAGGAGAAGGGGGAAGGGAAGGAGAATGTAGGGGAGGAGAAAACAAGGGAGGCAAAAGCAGGGGGGGAGGAAAGAGAGAAGAAGGGAGGGAAGGAGAACATAGGGGAGAAGAAGGAAAAGGGATTATCTGAGGGAAAAGTGGGAGCACCAGCAGGGACAAAAGAATCTGAGAAGATCAGCGGGAAGGAGAGTGTTGCAGGGAAGGAAGAGAAAGGAAGGGAAGAGAGCCAAGTGGAGGAGAGAAGGGAGGGAGAGGAGCTGAAAGAGGTGGAGGATGGAAGCAAGGGAGAGGTAGAAATGGAGGTGGAGGGAAGGGAAGGATTGGGAGAAAAAGAGTTGGAAGGAGAAGGGAAGGCAGCAGAGGTGGAGGGGGCCAGGGAGCAGAGATGGTTGATGGAGATGGGTTTAGGCTTCGGTGCTTCTGCCCCTCCTGCTGCTCCTCCTGCTGCCCCTCCTGCTGCTCCTCCTGCTGCCCCTCCTGCTGCTCCTCCTGCTGCCCCTCCTGCTGCCCCTCCTGCTGCCCCTCCTGCTGCCCCTCCTGCTGCTCCTCCTGCTGCCTCTCCTGCTGCCCCTCCTGCTGCTCCTCCTGCTGCCCCTCCTGCTGCTCCTCCTGCTGCCCCTCCTGCTGCTCCTCCTGCTGCCCCTCCTGCTGCCCCTCCTGCTGCCCCTCCTGCTGCTCCTCCTGCTGCCTCTCCTGCTGCCCCTCCTGCTGCCCCTCCTGCTGCTCCTCCTGCTGCCCCTCCTGCTGCCCCTCCTGCTGCTCCTCCTGCTGCCTCTCCTGCTGCCCCTCCTGCTGCTCCTCCTGCTGCCCCTCCTGCTGCCCCTCCTGCTGCCCCTCCTGCTGCTCCTCCTGCTGCCTCTCCTGCTGCCCCTCCTGCTGCTCCTCCTGCTGCTCCTCCTGCTGCCCCTCCTGCTGCCCCTCCTGCTGCCCCTCCTGCTGCTCCTCCTGCTGCCTCTCCTGCTGCCCCTCCTGCTGCTCCTCCTGCTGCCCCTCCTGCTGCTCCTCCTGCTGCCCCTCCTGCTGCTCCTCCTGCTGCCCCTCCTGCTGCCCCTCCTGCTGCCCCTCCTGCTGCTCCTCCTGCTGCCTCTCCTGCTGCCCCTCCTGCTGCCCCTCCTGCTGCTCCTCCTGCTGCCCCTCCTGCTGCCCCTCCTGCTGCTCCTCCTGCTGCCTCTCCTGCTGCCCCTCCTGCTGCTCCTCCTGCTGCCCCTCCTGCTGCCCCTCCTGCTGCCCCTCCTGCTGCTCCTCCTGCTGCCTCTCCTGCTGCCCCTCCTGCTGCTCCTCCTGCTGCTCCTCCTGCTGCCCCTCCTGCTGCTCCTGCTGCCCCTCCTGCTGCTCCTCCTGCTGCCTCTCCTGCTGCCCCTCCTGCTGCCCCTCCTGCTGCTCCTCCTGCTGCCTCTCCTGCTGCCCCTCCTGCTGCTCCTCCTGCTGCCCCTCCTGCTGCCCCTCCTGCTGCCCCTCCTGCTGCCCCTCCTACTACCCCTCCTGCAGCCCCTCCGGCTGCTCCTCCTGCAGCCCCTCCTGCTGCCCCTCTTGCTGCCCCTCTTGCTGCCCCTCCTGCTGCCCCTCCTGCTGCCCCTCCTGCTGCTGCGCCGGCTGCTGCTGCTCCTTCACCTGAAGCTGCTGCTCTTGCTCCTGCTGCTGCTTCTGCTTCTGCTGCTGCGTCTTCTCCTGCTTCTATTTCTGCCCCTGTTGCCGTCTCTGGTTCTGCCCCTGCCGCTCCCGCTGCTGTGTCTGCTCCGCCTGCTGGTTCTGCTCCGCCTGCTGTGTCTGCTCCTCCTGCTGCTCCTGCTGCTCCTGCTGCTCCTGCTCCTGCTCCTGCTTCTGCTCCTGCTCCCGCTCCTGCTCCTGCTCCTGCACCTGCTGCTTCTGCTTCTGCTCCTGCTCCTGCTCCTGCTCCTGCTCCTGCTCTTGCTCCTGCTCCTGCTCCTGCTCCTGCTCCTGCTCCTGCTCCTGCTCCTGCTCCTGCTCCTGCTCCTGCTGCTTCTACTTCTGCTCCACCTTCTGCTTTTGCGCTCCCTGCTGCTTCTGCTCTCCCCGCTCTAGCTCCTACTGCTGGTGTGAAGGGAGAAGCAGGGAAGGAGGGTGCGGCACAGCTGGACTCAGAACAGGCGGGTTCATCTGAAAAGGAGTATACCGGTAGCAAGATGGCTGCATCTGATGCGGTGATTGAAGCTGTGAACGAGGCTGGAGGTGTGAAGGGAGAAGCAGGGAAGGAGGGTGCGGCGCAGCTTGATACTGAACAGGCAGGTTCATCTGAGAAGGGGTCTGGTGGGAACCAGATGACTGCAGCAGTGCGAGTGGATGAAGCCGCGAAGATGGCTGGAGGTGTGAGGAGAGAAGCAGCAGAGGAAAGTGCGAAACAGCCTGACCCAGAACAGGCGGGTTCATCAGCGGAAGAGCCTGTAGGTGGGAAGCTGGTTGCAGCAGTGCGAGAAGGGGGAACAGAAGCAGCAGCAGGAGGTGCGAAGGTGGTTGGAGGTGCGAGGATGGATGGAGGGGAGAAGGGAGAAGTAGGGAAGGAAGGTGCTATACAGCCTGATTCAGACCAGGCGGGCTTATTAGCGGAAGAGCCTGTAGGTGGGAAGCTGGTTGCAGCAGCGGGAGAAGGTGGAGATGGGAAAGTGGTTGGACCAGAGAAGGTGGTTGGGGTTGTGAAGGGAGAAGCAGGAGGGAAGAAAGGTGCGGAACAGCTGGAATCAGAACAGGCAAGTTTATCTACAGCGGGGATGGTGGTTGCATTTGATGTGGTGATTGGAGCTGTGAAGGAGGCTGAAGGTGCGAAGGGAGAAGCAGGGAAGGGGGAGGGTGCAAAACAACTTGCCTCAAAACTGGCAGGTTCATCTGAAAAGGAGCATGCAGCTGCAAAGGTGGTTGCATCTGATGTGGTGATTGGACCTGTGAAGGAGGCTGGAGGTGCAAAGGGAGAAGCAGGGAAGGGGGAGGGTGCTTCTCAGCTGCCCTTCAAACAGGCAGGTTCGGTGCCTGGTGCTGGAAAGGTGGTTGCAGCAGTGCAGGGCGGAACAGAAACAGCAGCAGCAGGAGGTGCGACAACGGTTGGAGGTGAAAAGGAAGAAGCTGGGAAGGAAGGGTCGTCACAACTGTGCGCAGAACAGGCGGGTTCATCTGAGAAAAGGCCTGCAGGTGCGGAGGCGATTGTTATGGTCAGAGGAGGAGGAGCTGAGGAGGTTGCTGGAAGTGTGGAGGAGAGTGCATCTGAGAAAGCACCTGAAAAAGCACCTGAAGGAGCACCTGCAGTTGGGAGGGAAGATGCAGCTGGTAAGGAGAAGGTCTCTGGACAGGCACCTGAAAAGACACCTGCACCTGAGGAACGACCTGAGCCTGAGACTCAGTCGGTGCCTGTAAAGCAGCTGGTGCAGGAGAAAGAAGCTCAGTCCTCTTGCGCATCTACTCCTGAGAAAACACCTGAAGCTGACGAGGGTAAGACACCTGAGATTCTACCTGAAGAATCTCCTGAGTCTGTGCAACCACCTGAACCTGTGGAGCAAGCTGAGCCTGTAAAGTCACCTGAGGAAAAGGCACCTGAGGAAAAGGCACCTGAGAGAAATGTACCTGAGGGGAAGGCACCTGGGGAGAAGGCACCTGGGGAGAAGGCACCTGAAGAGAAGGCACCCGAGGAGAAGGCACCTGAGGAAAAGGCACCTGAGGAAAAGGCACCTGAGGGGAAGGCACCTGAGAGAAAGGTACCTGAGGAAAAGGCACCTGAGGAGAAGGCACCTGAAGAGAAGGCACCCGAGGAGAAGGCACCTGAGAAGAAGTCTCCTGGGGTGATGGCACCTGAGGAGAAGGCACCTGAGGTGAAGGCACCTGAGGAGAAGGCACCTGAGGAGAAGGCACCCGAGGAGAAGGCTCCTGGGGTGAAGGCACCTGGGGAGAAGGCACCTAAGGAGAAGGCACCTGAGGAGAAGGCACCTGAGGAGAAGGCACCTGAGGAGAAGGCACCTGAGGAGAAGGCACCTGAGGAGAAGGCACCCGAGGAGAAGGCACCTGAGGAGAAGGCTACTGGGGTGAAGGCACCTGAGGAGAAGGCACCTGGGGTGAAGGCACCTGGGGAGAAGGCACCTGAGGAGAAGGCACCTGAGGAGAAGGCACCCGAGGTGAAGGCTCCTGGGGTGAAGGCACCTGAGGATAAGGCACTTGAGGAGAAGGCACCTGGGGAGAAGGCACCTGGGGAGAAGGCACCTGGGGAGAAGGCACCTGGGGAGAAGGCACCTGGGGAGAACTAAGCATCTGTGATCGCCAGAGGTGTGGAGAGGAAGTGCAGCAGGGAGCAGCTGTTGCAACATAAGTTAGCAATAGATAGAGCAAGGAAGGACTACGGTACGTTGGAGGAGAAGGGCACTATGGTGCATGCAGGCACCAGCGCACAGGCACACATAGGCACTATGGTGCATGCAGGCACCAGCGCACAGGCACACATAGGCACTATGGTGCATGCAGGCACCAGCGCACGGGCACACATAGGCACTATGGTGCATGCAGGCACCAGCGCACGGGCACACATAGGCACTATGGTGCATGCAGGCACCAGCGCACGGGCACACATAGGCACTATGGTGCATGCAGGCACTAGCGCGTGGGCACACGGGCGCACATCCCCACACAGGCGCACGGCCACACACAGGCGCACCGGCACACACAGGCGCACCGAGGTCGTTTTTGAGGTGCCTCAAAAACGACCTCAAGGCACACACAGGCGCACGGGCACACACAGGCACTTCGATTCTTGACTAGCCACTCAGCCTCTCATACAGCGTTACTAGCCATAGCTGATAGGACCGTTGTTACCAGCAGTCAAGCTTTCCACAGTAGTACTAGTAGTAGAGTGCTCTGCTGTGGAAAGTTGCCATAGCATCCACATATACAGGTACACCACGGGATGGGTTTCAGCTGCTTATAGCTATTAACTGGCAGCGCTAAATAATGCTACAGGTTATGCTACGGTAGAGAGAGAGGTGCTTCTGATAGCACTTTTGCTTGGTTACTTGCCTTTGTTTTTTTTTTGTTTGGCAGCTTCTGGCTGCTTGGTTTTGGGCTCAGCTGCTCATTCTGCCCCTGACATAAGCGTACATAGAACATTTATATTGACTGTTGTGTTCCTGTAGACCTAGTTGTAAAAAACGTGTAGCAATTAGTCAACGACTCTTGTTTCTTTCTACCTATAGGTGTCTGCTGTGGAACTTTACATTTCCTTTTAGCGAATGCATGCACTCTTGTTTGTGCTTTCCTGGAGTTTACAAATTCCGATGCCTCAAGTTCGGTGTTAACCACTGATTCTCCACCGATCCGCGGAAGGGAGGTGTCCTTCCTTAGCATCTTTCGTACAGTGTTTAGGGCGCGGTAAGAGTAGACGATCGATCGTCAGTCGCGATCGATGTGCGGGTCGGATACCCTATTTACTACGCTGTAACTATGCAACAGTGTGCTTTTTGCCAAATTCTCTGTTTAGTGTGCGATTGCGACTGTTCTCTGATCGTGGAAGATCTGTCAATTCTAAAGGGGCGATCGTCACAACGTCGCGGTCGCCACGTTTCGCCATTCGATCTGCCCACTCGATTGTGGGGCTCGATATTTGCAGACGATCCTGCGATATTTGCACTTGCACCGCGTCCTAAACAGAGAGTCATCTACAGCACAGGCAGTACCATACTTCTTCCTGAATTTGCCTGTTTTTTTCCACGGCGAATCACAGTGGTCGCCTTGGGTACTTGGAAACTGTTGGGTCAACCTTCTAGTGAATGACTGCTGTGCATGCGTTAGTTATGAAACAACCTTATTCAGAAGGCGTGAAAGTGCTGTGGGGCAATGAGACGGCACGGCAGGGCACGAATCAGAGCGGTTGCTTGGAGGGCATTCCTGGGCGCCTTGGGTACTTAGAAGCAGTTGGCTCAAGCTTCTTCTGAATGACAACTGCGCTGGCTTGCAGGTAAGCATATTCAAGACGCGAGAAGCCGTTTTCACAATGAAATGGCATCATCGTTTCATTCAATGACTCTCTGAATCACAGCGGCCGTTTGGAGGGCATTCCAGGTCGCCTTGGGTACTTGGATGCTGTTGGATCAACCTTCTTGTAGATCACTGCTGTGCGCTGGCCGTTGGTGTTTGACGATGCAACTGTTGTGGGGTGAGGGACAGGGAGGGGAGGAGAGCAATGAGTGCATTGACAGGCCTTTCAGAGCTTGGATGCTGTTGGTTCAACCTTCTTGTAAACGATCGCTGTGTGCTGGCCGTTGGTGTTTGACGATGCCACTGTGGTGGGGTGAGGGGAGGAGAGGGGAGGAGAAGGGAAGAAAGAGGAGTAGAGCAATAACCACTTTGGCAGCACTTGAAGTGCTTGGATGCTGTTGGGTCAAGCTTCCTGTAAATGACTGCTATGTGCTGGCCATTGGCGTTTGACGATGCAACTGTGACGGGGTGAGGGATAGGGAGGGGAGAGGAGCAATGAGTGCTTTGACAAGCCTTTCAGAGGAGTAGAGCAATGGGTGCTTTGACAAGCCTTTCAGAGGAGTAGAGCAATGGGTGCTTTGACAAGCCTTTCAGAGGAGTAGAGCAATGGGTGCTTTGACAAGCCTTTCAGAGGAGTAGAGCAATGGGTGCTTTGACAAGCCTTTCAGAGGAGTAGAGCAATGGGTGCTTTGACAGGCTTTTCAGAGGAGTAGAGCAATGGGTGCTTTGACAGGCTTTTCAGAGGAGGAGAGCAATGGGTGCTTTGACAAGCCTTTCAGAGGAGTAGAGCAATGGGTGCTTTGACAGGCTTTTCAGAGGAGTAGAGCAATGGGTGCATTGACAGGCTTTTCAGAGGAGGAGAGCAATGGGTGCTTTGACAAGCCTTTCAGAGGAGTAGAGCAATGGGTGCTTTGACAGGCTTTTCAGAGGAGTAGAGCAATGGGTGCATTGACAGGCTTTTCAGAGGAGGAGAGCAATGGGTGCTTTGACAGGCTTTTCAGAGGAGTAGAGCAATGGGTGCTTTGACAGGCTTTTCAGAGGAGTAGAGCAATGGGTGCTTTGACAAGCCTTTCAGAGGAGGAGAGCAATGGGTGCTTTGACAGGCTTTTCAGAGGAGTAGAGCAATGGGTGCTTTGACAGGCTTTTCAGAGGAGTAGAGCAATGGGTGCTTTGACAAGCCTTTCAGAGGAGTAGAGCAATGGGTGCTTTGACAGGCTTTTCAGAGGAGGAGAGCAATGGGTGCTTTGACAGGCTTTTCAGAGGAGGAGAGCAATGGGTGCTTTGACAGGCTTTTCAGAGGAGGAGAGCAATGGGTGCTTTGACAGGCTTTTCAGAGGAGTAGAGCAATGGGTGCTTTGACAAGCCTTTCAGAGGAGTAGAGCAATGGGTGCTTTGACAGGCTTTTCAGAGGAGGAGAGCAATGGGTGCTTTGACAGGCTTTTCAGAGGAGGAGAGCAATGGGTGCTTTGACAGGCTTTTCAGAGGAGGAGAGCAATGGGTGCTTTGACAGGCTTTTCAGAGGAGGAGAGCAATGGGTGCTTTGACAGGCTTTTCAGAGGAGGAGAGCAATGGGTGCTTTGACAGGCTTTTCAGAGGAGTAGAGCAATGGGTGCTTTGACAAGCCTTTCAGAGGAGTGGAGCAATGGGTGCTTTGACAGGCTTTTCAGAGGAGGAGAGCAATGGGTGCTTTGACAGGCTTTTCAGAGGAGGAGAGCAATGGGTGCTTTGACAGGCTTTTCAGAGGAGGAGAGCAATGGGTGCTTTGACAGGCTTTTCAGAGGAGGAGAGCAATGGGTGCTTTGACAGGCTTTTCAGAGGAGTAGAGCAATGGGTGCTTTGACAAGCCTTTCAGAGGAGGAGAGCAATGGGTGCTTTGACAAGCCTTTCAGAGGAGGAGAGCAATGGGTGCTTTGACAGGCTTTTCAGAGGAGTAGAGCAATGGGTGCTTTGACAGGCTTTTCAGAGGAGTAGAGCAATGGGTGCTTTGACAAGCCTTTCAGAGGAGGAGAGCAATGGGTGCTTTGACAGGCTTTTCAGAGGAGTAGAGCAATGGGTGCTTTGACAGGCTTTTCAGAGGAGTAGAGCAATGGGTGCTTTGACAAGCCTTTCAGAGGAGTAGAGCAATGGGTGCTTTGACAGGCTTTTCAGAGGAGGAGAGCAATGGGTGCTTTGACAGGCTTTTCAGAGGAGGAGAGCAATGGGTGCTTTGACAGGCTTTTCAGAGGAGGAGAGCAATGGGTGCTTTGACAGGCTTTTCAGAGGAGTAGAGCAATGGGTGCTTTGACAAGCCTTTCAGAGGAGTAGAGCAATGGGTGCTTTGACAGGCTTTTCAGAGGAGGAGAGCAATGGGTGCTTTGACAGGCTTTTCAGAGGAGGAGAGCAATGGGTGCTTTGACAGGCTTTTCAGAGGAGGAGAGCAATGGGTGCTTTGACAGGCTTTTCAGAGGAGTAGAGCAATGGGTGCTTTGACAAGCCTTTCAGAGGAGTAGAGCAATGGGTGCTTTGACAGGCTTTTCAGAGGAGGAGAGCAATGGGTGCTTTGACAGGCTTTTCAGAGGAGGAGAACAATGGGTGCTTTGACAGGCTTTTCAGAGGAGGAGAGCAATGGGTGCTTTGACAGGCTTTTCAGAGGAGGAGAGCAATGGGTGCTTTGACAGGCTTTTCAGAGGAGGAGAGCAATGGGTGCTTTGACAGGCTTTTCAGAGGAGTAGAGCAATGGGTGCTTTGACAAGCCTTTCAGAGGAGTGGAGCAATGGGTGCTTTGACAGGCTTTTCAGAGGAGGAGAGCAATGGGTGCTTTGACAGGCTTTTCAGAGGAGGAGAGCAATGGGTGCTTTGACAGGCTTTTCAGAGGAGGAGAGCAATGGGTGCTTTGACAGGCTTTTCAGAGGAGGAGAGCAATGGGTGCTTTGACAGGCTTTTCAGAGGAGTAGAGCAATGGGTGCTTTGACAAGCCTTTCAGAGGAGGAGAGCAATGGGTGCTTTGACAAGCCTTTCAGAGGAGGAGAGCAATGGGTGCTTTGACAGGCTTTTCAGAGGAGGAGAGCAATGGGTGCTTTGACAGGCTTTTCAGAGGAGTAGAGCAATGGGTGCTTTGACAAGCCTTTCAGAGGAGTAGAGCAATGGGTGCTTTGACAGGCTTTTCAGAGGAGGAGAGCAATGGGTGCTTTGACAGGCTTTTCAGAGGAGGAGAACAATGGGTGCTTTGACAGGCTTTTCAGAGGAGGAGAGCAATGGGTGCTTTGACAGGCTTTTCAGAGGAGGAGAGCAATGGGTGCTT